TACTACTACTACTACTTCTGCTACTGGATTCTGCCGCGGCTACTCCTTCTCCTACTCACGTCAACTCCGGCCGAGTCACACTGACATTGCACGATGGTGCTGGTGCCTGTGGCACAGGTTGATGCTCAACCCAGAGTCTCAGGATGTTTGGGAGAATCAGAGGGTCATGAGGAATAAAGGGGGCCCTGCAAAGGCCCCAGGAGTGCGACAAGTTCTGGTTCTTGCCCTGGTGACTGCTGGTCTGAAATGAGGGATGCAGACACTGGCCAACAACATCGCATTGCAGGGAGAACTCCGACTGCCGACAACGGCTCACTTAAATGGATATGCCACGGATCCACATCCCTGCCCGAAAACTTTCAACAACAAAAGCCCAAAGCAAGCCTTCTAGCGGACCCTTCACATCCTAACTCCAGAAGGCCCAACCCACGAGTTCAAACCCTTGCGAGCGGCGATGAGGGCCTGAACAGTGATGCACCCGCTGCCGTCAGGTCCCACAGAGACCTCTTTGACTGAAGGCTTCTTGGTGCTTCGGCCTCCTCTACTGGCCTTTGCGCACAACAATAAATCTCCACCAATGTCGCGACACAACACCGAGAAAATGCCCTGTCCATCAACTACCCCAAGAAGCAGATTTGCGCTCTACATGGACGCTGCAGGCCCGGCCACCTTGACTTTTTTGAACTGGAGAGGCGCTGTCTGAAGCAGCGCGTAGGTCACCTGCGCGCTGCGCTCCCAAAGTACCCGACGGAGTGGTGACAACGAGCTCTCTGAACTTGGAACCTCGGTGTTTGGGCCTTCTTCTACCGCCACAACTGAGCGGGGCAGAATGATTGATATACGCCCCTGCCTTGCAACTGAGACAAAACTGAAGGAACCATCTCACGCAACTTTCAGAAGCAAGGAGCCCCAGCAGATCCAAGCCTCGCGATAGCAGGATTGAACGAGTCAAATATAAGCACCAGCTGTTGTCCAGCAATCCCCGAGAACATTATGTGCGCGCAGCTGCAGAGCCCTAAGCCACACAGCAAGACTCTCCCGCGTGTGCCTGCGCCCAAACGCGGTCTTCGCATCTAGGCATTGGCACGGTGCGTGGCGTACGGAGATTCGAAGGAAGCAGCCGCAGTGCAAACCTTGGCACCGCGAAGCCGCCAGAATGAATCGTTGAGGCCATGCAGTTGCTGCTTGGCAGACGGCAGCACTGAGGCGACTTGGGCAAGGTCTCCACAAATGAGGCGACCAGACTACCACAAAGATGACATTGCTACGCAGCACGAGACGCAAATTCAAAGGCAGCAGCTGGCGCCACAGAGCGATGTCGACTTCATGCCAGTAGTCAGATGCACTCGGGCATGGTGCCCAAAGACAACGATTCTTTAGCCCCCAGTACTTCTTAAACACTGAACACAACACCTCAAAGATCGTCAGCCTTGCAGAACGCTGCAAAACCATATCGACGAACTCATCACAGTGCTCCAGATTGAAGCAGCTCAACTGCGTCGCCCTACGCTTGCAAGGGATTCGGAGCGTAAGCATCTGGCAGCCATAGCCCAATGGGAGCCAAGGCGAACCCCCCGGTGTACACGAGCTCCTTCCTTGGGAAGGGATGGTTTGAAGTCAACGGGCTCCAACTTATATAGACGGACATATTATACATGTGTTCATGCTGCCTGCATCGGAAACTGTTCCGAATCGTTCGAAAAGTACAGACGAAGTGCGGGGGGTGGAGGGGCGGGGGAAATTCTTCTTGCATTCGGAAATGAAGCCTGACTTCTTGCGACGATATGAAGGCAGGCGGTTCCTGGATGACGACGAAACAACGATGTCGGTGACAGCAGCGATGAGGATGATGGTGGTGACGATGATGCTAGTGCTATCGCTAGTTCTCGTGCAAGTTCTCGTACAAAGGCATCAGCAACTGTTCCTGCCAGATACTGCCAAAACAACAGGGGTGACAAAACAACGATGCACACGGCGACAACGACGACGAGGACGAGGATGACAAGGAGTGCTGCGCTAAATAGTGCCACCCACACCACAACCACCACCACCACCACCACCACCACCACCGCCACGTCGACGGCCACTGCCACGAGAACGAAGATGTGTTCCACGACGAAGCTGTGGAGCAAAAAAAGAAGAAGTACGAATACTGTCTACGGCGTCTACGGAAAACCAGAACCTGCCACGAGAACGAAAATGAGTTCCACGACGAAGCTGTGGAGCAAAAGGAGAAGAAGTACGAATACTATCTACGGAAAGCCAAAATCGCAACAGCTAACACAAATCCAAGCAGTATTGCTCGCGATATCGTGCCGTCCCTGTCATCTTCCATTTGCGCCGTGAGCAGTAGGACTAGGAGCAGGAACAGTCGGAGTGGGAGTGGTAGTAGGGATAGTAGTAGTACTACCAGACGTGGTCGTAGTAGTCGTACTACTACTACTACTACTACTACTACTACTACTACTACTACTACGACGACTACTACTAGTACTACTACTACTACTACTACTACTACTACTACTACTA